GCAAACCATTAACAAAAGAGCATGCATAACAAGCATCATCATGAATTATTTCTTTAGTATTGACAAAAAATTAGTGAATCACTCTCAAAGATAGGAAGGAATGTAAGGCTCATGAACTTAGACTGACCTCAAAGCGACTTGGAAAAGTCACATTCTGTGATGTTTTCTTCTCCAAGGAACCTAGTGCAGCATCATCGAAGGAAACTATGGTTATCATAATGAACAACTTTTAGCTTGTCAAAGCAAGGAAAATGGGTCAAGCAATAATGTATTATTTAGTATTTAACACGCTACTTGAAATCCAAGCACAAAGCCTAGAGGAATACTTAGACCGTTTTTGTATTCCATAGCCACTATAATGGTAAGTTTGAACTGAATACAACAAAAACCAATGTGACAGAGGTTTATCCGTAGCACAGTGTCACACTTCAATTACAGTTAATCATTGCATTTCTCCCAAAAAAAAAAAAAAGAATTGGAAAGAATGCTTAAACTTAAACTAGAGTAGATATAATAAACTCACCATTGATATCAAAGAAGAATTTGGCTTCCCACCGGCCACCAAGCCAGAGACGTGCGATGTTTTTAGAGTGCACCAGTTGCCATTGGGCACATGAACTGTAGCAGGCCTTTCGTGTGAAAATCGTGACTCTGAAACTATGCTTAGATGACCCGAAATTTAATAACAGCATATAAGCTTCCAATTTGGAAGATGAAGGCTTCACAGGACCTAAAATCTGAATCCACTTCCTCTTTCTTTCTTAATACAGATTAAATTCACCAACCTAACCAGTTTAAGAAACTGTCTGCCTGCCATTTAACATTTCAAAGGGACGTAAAGCTAATCCATAAGAAAACAGAACATAAAGCAGATCTTTCCATCTCCAGTTCAGAACTCCAAAATTTAAACCGAATTACTTAAAATAGAACTACCAAAAACAGAAAAGGAAAATAGGAGAAAAGGCAGAAGAAGTCTAAGAAAAGTGTATTTATTAAAGATTTTTCTAAATTCTCATATGAAATGCATAAAATTGTGATGCCCGTTTCAGTTCACACTAAGATCTCATTACCATTTACTCATCTTATATCAACTTCGGGGATGCCACGGGTGAGAGTCCAATAGTCTCCTTCCGCCTCAAAGCGCTGTCGTTTTAGATGCGGACACCTCTCGATGAATAGTCGTCCAAGCGAGGGAGGGAAGGCTTCCTTTGGCAAAGATCGTAGCTTTGGGCAGTCTTCTATACTTAACTGTTGAAGGGAGCTTAGGTTTTGGAATAGCCCCCCAGGTATGGATTCCAAATTCTCTTCTTTCTTGATCCGAAGATTGGTTAAAGAAGAAGGCAGCACAATATCCAAAGGGAATTTCTGCTCAATTGCCAACCAGCGAAGAGACGTAAGGTTTTGGAGGTCCATCGTCAAAACCTCACCTGAAAGTGATAGATTCCAAAGCAATGTGAGCTGGTACATTGTATTCGGCACACACTTGAAATTGTCACAGTTCTGAAATTGAAGATATTTTAAGTTTGGGGGCAAACCCCCATCTGGAATGAACTCGATGCTGGGGCAGTCTATCATCCATAGGTATTGAAGAGATTTTAGCTGGTACATCGTATTTGGGAGGCATTTGAAATTCTTACACCATTCTACCACCAAATTCTTAAGATTGGGGGTGCATAACCCCAACTCTTCTGGTAAGAACTCCAAAACTTCACAACTGTAAATAGATAATCGAATGAGATTGCTAACGTAATCAAGATTGGGTAAACCTTTCAATATTTTACAACCCCAAATAGAAATGGATTGGAGTCCCGTACAATGTTGCAGCATCTTCTCTGGAAATGATTCTAGCCAGTCGCCACCATCAGTAACTTTAAATTCCTTGAGAAAAGTTGGTAGCTGATGGCAACTACGCTGAGAAGAATAAAAACATGGAAGATTACATATTTCCGAATGTAGATCACTATTATTATAGTCACCATCAACATCCGGTAGAGACTTAAGACCTTCACAATTTCTTATTATCAAGTATTTAAGCGAGGTGGGTAATTTGCCTCTTGGAAATGACTTGAGAGAATTACAATCACAAATTTCCAACCTTTCTAGTCTCGACATCAACATATTAGTGTTGCTGCTACTGCTTCCATCCATCCTCATCATCATTGCATCGGGTAATGACGCCAAAGCTCTACATCTCGTAAGGCTAAGATGTTTAAGATTGAAAGGCAAGAGGCTTTGTTCTATTTTTGTCCCTTCCTCCCACAAACAAGTAAGATCATTGCAAAATGCAATATCCAAAGTCTCAAGTGTTGTCCAAGACTGTGTAAAACTCTCAGGCAAGCAAGTCAGTTCTGAAATTTGCTCAATTGTCAAGTTAGTGAGGGAAGTGAGATCAACCATGCTCTTCAAAAGCACCCCATTGCAGTATCTAATAGACAACTCTTTCAATGATGGAAGACTCATGCTCATAGGCAAGCAAGTCAGTTCTGAAATTTGCTCAATTCTCAAATAAGTAAGAGAGGGGACATCTCCCATACTCTTCAAAAGCTTTCCATTGCAGCTTCTAACATCTAACTCTTTAAGTGAAGAAAGGTTGCTGGGTAATTGTCCTAACAACTTAGGACAATTTTTAATCACAAGCTTATGAAGACAAGGGAATTCACCTGCACTTCCAATTGGAGAAGTCCATTCCTCCCACTCTGGCATGTTTCTAAACACCAGTTCAGCCAGTGATGGAAAAGAGCCATGCTGCCCATAAAACTCAAAACTTACAGCTTCTATTTCCTCCATGCCTTCAATAATCAATTTTTTGAGAACAGGTAGTCGGCCAAGTGATGGTAACAAAGTGCATCTCTTACAATCACGGAGCTCCATGGATGACAAATTGAAAAATAATGATGGATCACAAACCCAGGGAGGGAAATTCTCACCACCATAGCAAGAAATTTCGAGACTTTTCAAATTTGAATGAGGTTTTAACCAGTTAAAGACTTCCATTTTAAGGACTAATTCATCTCGATCATTATCAGAAGTAGTCCACTCTAGATCATGATCAGAAGTAGTTTGCTCCAGATTTTGCTCCAGATCATTATCAAAAGTAGTCTGCTCCAGATCAGAATTAGAATCCAGATCATTATCAAAAGTAGTCCGCTCCAAATCATTATCAGAAGTAGTTTGCTCCAAATCAGAATCAGAATCCAGATCATTATCAGAAGTAGTCCACTCCATATCAGAATCAGAAGCAGTCCACTCCATATCAGAATCAGAAGTAATCCACTCCAAGACTAACTCTTCCAAACCATGGATCTTGTCTAGGTTGGCCTCTTTAGCATCTTGAACATCCAAAACATTCTGCAAATCTAGAATAGATAGTCTTCCTCGAATTTGTGACAAGTTCTTCAGATCAGATAATCTTGTCATCATTCCACTTGCCTTCCCCACAATAAATTTGGACAATGTTACAAGATTTTTGAGATTGCCTATTCCTGATGGCATATTTTTTAAAGATGATGTATTAGTGATGTCAAGATGATGGAGATCAATTAGATTCCCAATTGTCATAGGCAACTCACTAAGCTCACGACAACCATATAATAATAGTGTTTGTAACAAGAGAAGAGAACCCACTGATTCAGGTATACGTTCAATAGTTGTTCTAGACAAATCAATGTATCGCATATGTTTCAAATTTTCAAAAGAATCTGGTAGCTTGCTAATCTGATAGCCGCAAAGAGACAACACTCTTAAGCAAGTCAAAGTTGGTAGGAAATCATGCAAGATTTTATTAGACAAATAGAAGGAACTGTGTGCTTCTAATGGCAAGAATGTTCTCAGATGCTTCAATTTATCCAAGACTGTGAACCTCTCTGAGATTTCATACTCATGTGGAGTAAATGACAAATGACGAGCTTTCTCTAATTTTTCATCACCCATGTTACGTTCAAGATTGCAATATATTTTTCCAGCAACATCTACAACTAAATCATTTATGAGGTCATGCATCACAAACCGCAATTCATTTCTACTTGACTGTTGAAAGAGTGATCTTATGAACAACTCATCGAAATATTGATGACCAATCTCTTCTTCCATTTGCTTCTTTCCATGTGACTGTTGCTGCAATAGGCCCTCAGCCATCCATAATCGGACCAACACCTTTTTGTCAAATTCATAGTCTTTAGGGAACAAAGCACAATAAGCAAAGCATCGCTTCAAGTGAGAAGGAAGATGATTGTAGCTTAATCTCAAAGCAGGAAGAATTCCACTTCTATCTTCAGTTGACCTCCATATGTCACTGTTTAATACATTTTCCCACTCATCACGACGCAACTTTCCCCGCAAGACGCCACCAAGTGTTTTTAGTGCTAATGGTAATCTTTTGCACCTCTTTACAAGCTTCTCACCAATATCTTGCAGGTTTCGGTGCACATCAAAGTTCTCTTTCCCCAGTGCATGTCGTGTAAATAATGGCAAACAAGCATCATCTTGCAGCAATGCTAAATTGTAAACTTCATCATCTCCTCTCATCATCGTCCCAACATCCTTATTTCGAGTTGTGACAATTATTTTACTTCCAGGAGCTCCTGACATGAAAGGTCTCTTCAAGACATCCCATTGGCCATATTCCTTATTCCAAACATCATCCAATACAAGAAAAAACTTACACCCAGATAACTTCCCTTTCAATTTCTCTTGAAGCAAACCAAAATCAGAGTTACGCGGTTCCTCCCCAGTTACATGTTCTAAAATGGTTCTTGTTATTTGAGTAACATCAAACTCATCAGAAACACAAACCCATGCCTTCAAGTCAAATCTGTCTTTCAGTTTCTCATCATTGTAAATGAGACGAGCAAGAGTTGTTTTGCCTAGTCCACCCATTCCGACAATGGGAATAACAAAATCTTGTTCGAGACTGCCTCCATCTTCTAGCAACCTCTGAAGAATTGCATCTTTATCTCTACCTCGACCCCACACCTTATCTTCAAGAAGAGAAGACTCAGGTAGTCTTTTTGCAACTATTTTATGAGACCTATCTTCAGATTTCAAAGCCAAATTGGTCAGTTCCAAACTACGCATCCCGTTTTCAATTTCCTGCAATCTACCACTTAGATCCATCACCATGGAATCAATCTCCTGATTGGATTTGGCCTTAGATCTAAATAAATTCATGACACTAGGGGTGATTTTTTGTCGCTTATTAGCTCTAGCATCAAATTCTGCAATCAATTCAGACCTCTTGGCATTAATCACAAACTTTTCAAGTATATCCTCCATATCATAAGCCAACTCCCTAATATCATCAAGACATGACTTCACAAACAGGTTGGCGACTTGATTTTCTTCTGCGTGTTGAAGTATAGCTGTGATTTTGGGCAATAGAGTCTTCCAGCTTTCCATTTGGGCACGTACTTCCTCCTTTGAATCCCGTAGCTGATCACTTATATATTCCTTAAACTTTTCGGATAGCAAGTCATATGTAACAGACAAAAGAGAACTTCCAACAAAAGATAAGACCTCCATTGGATAAAACAGTTTTTCTACAAAAAAGAGAGAAACGGATTGAAGTATAAATTAAACTAATCTATTGAATGCTACATATTCATTTGATTATCATCAAATTAGTATTTTATCTTAATGGATTGATTTAATTAATTTAGATTTAATTAGTTTTTCGTGTTGTATTGAAAATAGTTAGATTATATAAAGAAAACAATCAAGACGTGGTTTGCATAAATAATATGGGCCCTACAAATAATCAACACGCGGTTTGCTTTAGGTGAATGAATGGTCAAAAATATGGATCCTGCAAATAATCGTCTCGACTCTCGAGAGGCATGAACTTGCTGGATTCAACTAACTTATTGTCGTCAGTGTAATTTTTAATTAAAATAATGATAAATAAAATTAAAAATAATTTTTATTTTTTATGTAAATTTATAGTAAAAATAAACAATAAATTCATTCTGAATGTATAAATTAAAATTTTTTTAAAAAACATCGAAAGAAAAAGGGATAAGATATGTAATCTCTTAGCTCTAAGCTACTTCCATCTGATTGTCAGAGCACGCGAGGAAGGACAACAGCCTGAATCGCATTTGTTGGAAAGAAAATTGCTTTTGCCTTGAATTCTCACTTACGACGTGGAATTCTCTTCTTTTTATTTGGATTTTTTTT